CCGGCTTGGAGTTTAATATCTGATAAAATAAGGCTAAGAAACAGAGGCAAAGTGATAAATGTCTTGAAAATGTTTTCTTTTTGGGGAGGAACAGGGGGCTGGGTACTTAAGAAATATATATTGAATGTGCCAAGCAATGAGACTTAAAACTTCAATATGAAGGTCTCATGTGCAAAGGGAACCCCAAATACCCTAACTTTTCCATCTCTAGTTTACCACTAAACTCCAAGTATGTACTCTTCGTTATCTTTGATCTTGATTATCAGGAAGGGATAATTTTACATAAGCCAGGAAAATATCCAGGCACATTTGCTTATCTATAATCTGTGTTTACTATCAAGCTATGATAATAAGCTAATAGGCCAAGTTAGAGGCCCTTCATAAATTTGGTAGGGCATTTCTTACCCTTGCAGATCCATATTTTAGAAGTGAATAGATATGGTGAGGTCTGGTGACGCATCTTCAGAGAAAACGCGTGAGACCAGGAGTAACATCTCTGGATTTTCTTGTCTCATAACCAACTTGTCATTGTCATCCTTGTATATATTTTTTACATTAACCTCAAGACTGAATTGAACTGCAAATAAATCCTGGTTTTAGTAGTATTTCTCTGATGTTTTATTTTAATCATTTTCCTTTTAAATCGTGTACTTGCTGCCTCATTAAGACAATTACATAGTATTTTGGGAAAATCAGCAGCCCTAGATAAAACTCTTTTTAAAGAGAGGTCCTTGTACCTGTGGTCGTTCGGTCTGCACCCGACGAAGGCAGTCTGCACCATAGATCACCGTATTCTCGGGGATGACTTCAAAAGTATTTAAGCTGCAACAAGCCCCGATGATGCAGCCACTTGTCAATATCACATTTCTGCCTACATATGCTGCAGTAAAAACATAAAAAGAATTACAACTTAAGACACCAAGCGACTGCAATACTGTTTTTCTAAGATGATTTAGGTTTAAAAATGTAAACTGGGCCAGGTGTGGTGGCTCATGCTGGTAATCTCAGCACTTTGGGAGGCCAAGGTGGGAGGATCGCTTGAGGTCAGGAGTTTAAGACCCGCCTGGGCAACACAGCAAGACCCCATCTCACAAATAAATAAATAAAATGTAATGGTTTAATTTAATCCTGATTTAAATGTACACAGTTGACTTTTTTATTTACTATATTTAACCACATTACCAGATAACCACATAACCAGAGTAGGCGCCTTAGAGGCAAAGAATTAGTTTGATAGCTATATTAGTCCACTTCCAAGTATATTATCTTGCCATAATTTGTACTTAGGTTGTTTCCCAGGACACTACAAAGAGAAAAAGAGCTAATCAATTGACAGGAGAATTCTGAACATAGCTTACCTTTTGATTCAATGACATTATTATCTCCCATCTTCATGGCTTGGGAATCTGGAAGCCAGAGTTAAGTAAATAGTGTAAATATGTTCATCTTTTTTCTCTATTAATACAATATGTCCTAATATTGCACTGGGGCACAGAACAGAGGCGTGAGAAGGGCTGTACAGGCTCACCTTTGCCAGAACTCTTTGCTCAGGGCAATCTGTAGCAAAGTTTTAATCTTTAAACATAAATTATCTTTAGGTGTGAGTAAATGACTTCTATGTTTTTTAAAGAAATAAGTACCTTGTACACTGATTTTATGAGTAACATATTTTCATAATTATTCTAAGAAAGTTAAAACTATCCATCACCCAGTCACTTAAAATACTGTTAACAGTCTGATATATCCTTATATAAACATAATTCCTTTTATATAAATGGGAATAAATCTGTATAAACTTTTATAGCTTATTTAGTTCACTTAAGTTTGCAAGCATTATTCCATGCCATTAAAATCTTTAAAAAATTAAGTGCAGTGGCGTGACCATAGCTCACTACATCCTCAAACTCCTGGGTTCAAGTGATCCTCCTGCCTCAGCCTCCCAGATAGCTGGGACTATAGGCACATGTCAACACACCCAGCTAAGTTTTCTATTTTTTATAGCGACAGGGTCTTGCTCTTGCCCAGGCTGGTCTCGAACTCCTGACCTCAAGCAATCCTCCCGCCTCAGCCTCCCAGAGTGCTAGGATTACAGGCATGAGCCAGCGCACCCAGCCCAGGATCACTGTTTCTGTGTCTACTGTCACTTAGCCACTGCTACTTGTCAATAAGTTGTAGTACCAGCAAAAGGAACAAGAGATTACTTCCAAAATGCTGGGCTAAAGATGTATGTATGTGTGTGTGTGTGTGCGCATGTGTATGTCTGAAAATGGCATACTTACTTAACTCTATTGCATTATTTACTAGTACAAAGGGGATTTTTTTTTTTTAGTCTTGGTCACTCAACCAATCATTTTTTTATACATACTACAAATAAGTCTGTTGGAAGAGCTGGATGATCTAGTTCTAAAAATGTAATTATGACATATATCACAAATATATTTGATAAACTATGACAATTTGACAATTTCTATGGGGAGACTTAGGGGCTAAAGAACAGCTAGGGATGATTCTCGTTAGATGCTGTGAAGGATACAACAGCCAACTTCAAACACGTTATTGGTGCCAATGATCATAGGTTTGGGTTCTGGATCTTCGGTGTCAGGAGTGATGTTATCTGGGTGACTGCAAAAAGAAGATACATCATCAAAAAGTCAGTAACACAATAAGCAATTTTCCTTCCATTTTAGAATTTGGCTTAATTTTATTTTACCTACATCAAGCTTAAAATATGTAAGTTATTTATTAATCCAAGTGATTCATTTATCCTCTATGCTGGAGAAGGTTTGATTTTGAGTTAAAAAGAGCTACTGACATGGAAAGAATTCACAGGTGTGTGTAGAAGGACAGCCTTTCTTTGTTTATTACACATTCTAAATTAAAAGTCCAGAGGGCCTTCTCTAGGACAAAGTAAAAAATATGCTGGCTGTCCTTTTAGCCTGTTGAATTAGAATTAAAATCATGTCTAACTTGAGAATTTTCCATCCTTAATAATCATTCGAGATTGTGAAATATAAACAGATATTCACATAAAGTAATTATTTTATGTTATTAGTTAGCTGAAATATTTGGAAGAGAAAATGTTTGTGTTCTAGGAGGAGGAAGCCATTTTAAAACGGTGTTTTATCTCTGACAGTTGAGTTACTGCAGAATAGCTGTTGTTAACTGACTTACATGGAAGGTGCCAAACATATCTTAAATCTAAGCATGCATTATGACAAATCAGTCATTTTATGACAGTTAAATATTTTCCCAAGGTCTTTCTTACAAATTCCATACATTGTCGCTATAAATTAGGTATAAGCTTGAATTTCTTGCCAAAATTTTATCTTAGAAAGACTCATAAATGCTTATGAAAATTTTGTAGGTATTATAGTCTAGTTCACTAAGATCATGTTCATGTTCTAATATTTTATTTTTTTTATCTTTAAAGTTTAAAAACTGCCTCTAGGACCCCAAAATTTTCAACTATAATTCTGGGTGTTATCTGTGCAACACATGTGAAAACACATACTGTGTTTCCCTGAAAATAAGACAGGGTCTTATATTTATTTTTCCCCAAGAAGACACCCTAGGGCTTATTTTCAGGGGATGTGTTATTTTTTTTAAGTACGGTACAACCATCTACATGTATTCAAATATAGCTATGTCATCTTCTTCTGGAACATCATCATAACTCTCCAAACCCCAAATTCCATCCTGAATTTCTTACGACTCTATTTCCTTTAGAACCATTGGCCCCAATCTTTCATGTCGAGCAATACAGCTCTCATGGGGCAGATGAGAAGGGCTGCTCGTCTTCTTTGCCATTCCATCATGAAATGCATGGGTTGTGCAGATATGCTGCATAGCCACGCCCATCACTAGGTCTTATATTTTCAAGGTAGGGCTTATGTTGCGCAAATGCTTAGAAATCCTGCTAGGGCTTATTTTATGGGTAGGTCTTATTTTCGGGGAAACACGGTAGTAGAGTTAAGTGCACATGTTTGGTAATAGCAGTAACATTTCAGCCAGAACCAAGAAACCCAACCAAAAAACTCCTGTCAGGGTGGTGAGCACAGCACTTGGAGGTTGGAGGTGCTCAGGAAATGTTTGCTTAAGGGATGGATGAGAAGGTGATATGTGAGGGGGAGATATCAGCATCAGAGTCAGAGAATTCTAGTTGGCCGCCACTGAGCTCTCTCTCTTTGGACAACTTTTCTCTCCCATCTGGTTTTTGGTTTCCTCATTTACATTTCAACATTTATGGTGAAAAAGACCCTTCATTTTCTCTAGCTCTAAAATAGTGGACCTTCCAGATGTTACAAAAGGTTCTTATAGACCACTGAAATTAATGAAAAACGTTACTTGTGGTTCAGAGTATCTGTAAGAGTCTTACTCACGCATTTATGATAAGGGCCTGTTCCTCTATGAGGTTACCTTCGCCAATCACTATTGGCCCAGCTTCCGCAATGATTCGAGCTTTAGGGTGGATCACTGTCCTGGGTCCTGTTAAGAATATCGATTGAGAAGACATTATTGGTGGGGGCTGTGTTTCCAACGGGAGGGTGGGAGGAGACCGAGGGTGAGGCCGTTGGGAGGAACATTTTCTAAGTATGTGCCAGGCACCAAGCTAGGTACTCTGCAACTATTATCTCCTTGGCCATTATCATCGGTAGTTAGTGCCAACTCTCAAACCAAGGTGAGTGCAACAGCACAGGTGTCAGAGCCAGACAGCTCTGGCCCAGCCTCCACGTGGAAGCTTCTGTGATCTCGGTGGTGAAATGGAGGTGCCAGCACCTGTCCTGGAGGGTTGCTGTTAGCTGAGATGATGTTGGACATGCAGTATCTGCCACACAGTTGGCAATAAAAATGAATTCCCTTCTTCCTTCCCTTCATAAAGGTAGAGCTCTTTGCTTACAACGTGGTGCTTTCTAATGCTAATGTGATTAAGAAAAAACACATGCAGACAGAAGAGGGGATCTAACTTTAGCTTTGTTACTTTGTCACTGTCCCTGTCACAGGCACACCCACTGGAAGGAGGCAGAGCTTCTGCTGTCTGGTCTAGGAGATGATTTTAAGCAGCTAAAGGTGAACCGGTGAAAGGGAGGCAGTCCAAGGAGCCAAGGATGATCACTGGAGTCCTCAGACTGGAGCAGGCAGCCCTGAGGCAAGCGGGCAGCAAGCCCCTGGGCAGTGGAGGTACCCTAGCGCTCATCCAGCGCCCCCACCCTGGAATGCTAACACACTCCCTCCCTGGCTTATCCACCACAGGCCTAGCATTTGGTGATAACGAAACTACTAATGAGAAGACACATCCTCCCCTTTAGCCTCTGTCCAACACCTAGGCCACTTACCCCTCAATACCAGGGCTCCTTTTACTGGTCAATAAGTGGAGAGATAGTAATTGAAAATAAGGAAGGGTGGACAGAAGTATTGATAGGACGGGAGGGGAATTAGGAAGGTGACATTGTCCATGAAATTCAGTATTCGATTGTATAAATTATTAATTAATTCAATAATCATTATCTGCTGGAGACAGGCAGGATGCAGTGTTATATGTTATGCAGCAACAAAAATGAATGCATGCTATTTTTGTCCCTTTGAGCTTGTTTTCCTGAAAACTGGGAATGCTTAATATACTCGCTCACAAATGTACTAAAATAAATAAGAAGGTGTTCTGGTGCCCAGAGATTTGGAAAGAACCTAACTGACTGACTAACTAACCTAAGGAACAGCGCAGCTTATTCTTTTTCCTCACAAGGAAGAGCTGGGGATTGGTAAAGAGCGTGGGGCCTACAGCAGGCTGCACAATCCAACACCCTGACATTCCTCAACAGGACACAAGGTCTAGTAAGAAAGAGCACGACAGTGGCTTTGGCGTTTCTCAGGCACCTCTGCTCCCGAAATCTTCAGCTGCTAAAGTAAAATATCCCAAGCAAGTTCTCCTATTCAGCATAGAAGATTTCAGGATGTAAGATGGGATCTCTGAGATCCCTGGGAAGCTTCTCAAGCTGACCATGAGAGCAAATGTGTGTGTCCTTTTGCCTTTGTTTAAAACAATACGTATCTATATATTCGCATATATACACACATATACATATATATGTACGGATATACATATACTTACTATTAAAAAATATGATCATTACAAAAAACTCAAGCAAAGCAAAAAGTAAAAGATCCTTTCATGCTAATCTTATTCCCTAGAGGTAACTATTCTTAAAAGTTTAGGATATATTATTCTTCCAGACTTAAGTACTGTTGTATACTTAAGATCTGTAAATCTCACTATATATAAACTATAGCTCTAGAAAAAAAATAAAAAAAATAAAAAAAAAAAATAAATACAGTTGTGAAGAGCTGGGTAAAAGAAAAGAAAAAAAATAAAAAAAAAATAAAATAAACTATAGCTCATTAAAAAGTTTAAAAATAAATACAACATGGAGAAAATCTGCTTTAAAAGCACATACTTCTTTAAAACCAAGCAACAGTACTTATTAGTCTGCAATGTGCTTCTTTCATGGTAATTTTTCCATGTAAGTATATCTAGATATTCTTTTTAATGGCTGAAAAGTATCTCATGTCATAGTAATATAGCATAATTTATTTCAGTGATCCTTAATAAGGGGCATTTGGAGAAGAGGTGCCAAATAATGCTGAAATGAGCATGGATTCCTTTGAAATGAGGAATTTCCACGTCTTCCAGCTGTGTGAACCACTTGAAATCTGTAGTTTGCACAATACTAGATTTACATTCTACTTCAAAATGTTCTGTGATAACGGGACACGATCTGCCTATTTTAGGTTCTTTGCAATTAAAACCCCAGCCGGCCCCCCAGCCCTTGTCTAAAAAGTCTAGACTCTGGGCTCTATCACTCAAAGGTTATGTGCTTACTCTTTCCAAAGCCTGTTTTCTCATCTATAAAAAGAGGAGATCTGTAACAACCTACCTCATTAGGTTGAAATGTGGATTATATGGAATAATGTTTGAAAGGGAGATCTTGGGGTTTGGCCCAAAGTTCTTAAAAATGGGATGTTTCATCACTATTTGCCACTAAGAGCTAATAAATAACTTTTCTTTTAAGAGATAGGGTCTTGCTCTGTCACCCAGGCTGGAGTGCCGTGGTGGGAGCATGGCTCACTGTAATCTCAAACTCCTGGTCTCAAGTGATCCTCCCACTTCAGCCTCCCAAAGTGCTGGGACTATAAGCATGAGCCACTGGGCCCAGCCAATTTATTCATAATAAGCAGAATAGCTAATTCTGCTCTGAAAAAAAGGAGAAAAGGAACTGCTTTCCTCCTCTACTTGGGTATCAGGGTAACACCTCCTTTTAACCCAAGGGGAAAATTCCACACCTTATGATAGCACAGTAGAAAGATAAAAAAGTATTTTCCCTAACTAGCTTTAAAAATCTTGGACAGGAGGAAGAGATCGTCATGGCTGTGACAGAAAGCAGATCCTTTGCCACTGCTAGATAAGTAGCCAGAGACACTAGATATTCTGCTGGTCCTCGACCTGTAGCTTCTGACAAGCAAGACTTGTAAGAAGATTCCTGAGCTTGGATTAATATGAGGGAGATACCACTGGGACCTCTGTGTTTCTCTAAAGTGTACTTTTTCCTTCTCAAAAATGACTAAATAATACATGTTTATTGTACATATATAAAGTGGAGAGGAAGTAATTGACTCTAAAAGTAAGGAAGTATGGACAGAGTACTGACAGGAGGGGAGGTGGTTTAGGCAAGTGACACGGTCTATGAAATTCAAACCCCAAACAAATAAGTACAAAAAAAATTTTTTTTTGAGTCAGAGTCTCACTCTGTTGCCCAGACTGGAGTGCAATGGCGTGATCATGGCTCACTGTAATCTCAAACTCTTGGGCTCGAGTGATCCTTCCATTTTAGCACCAAGTAGCTGGGACTAAAGGCATGTGCACTACACCAGGCTAAATTTTTTTTTTTTTTTGAGACAGAGTCTCGCTTTGTTGTCCAGGCTAGTGAGTGCCGTGGCTCAGCCTAGCTCACAGCAAAGTCAATCTCCTGGGCTCAAGCGATCCTATTGCCTCAGCCTCCCGAGTAGCTGGGACTACAGCATGCACCCACCATGCCCGGCTATTTTTTCTATTATATATCAGTTGGCCAATTAATTCTTCTATTTATAGTAGAGATGGGGTCTCGCTCTGCTCAGGCTGGTTTGAAACCCTGACCTTGAGCAATCCCCCCCGCCTCGGCCTCCCAGAGAGCTAGGATTACAGTCGTGAGCCACTGCGCCCGGCAACACCAGGCTAAATTTTTAATATTTTTGTAGAGATGGGGTCTTGCTATGTTGCCTGGGCTGGTCTCCAACTCCTGGCCCTCAAGCGATCCTCCCACCTCAGCCTCCCAAAGTGATGGGATCACAGGCATAACTCACTGCACCTGGCCAAACTTTTAAAAATTAAAATAACCCCAAGTCCTATAAGATGTCTTACATAATATTTACAAATAATGCATGAGCTATTTTAATCAGGTGTTTTATCTTTGTAAACATTATTTTTTTTAATCATTATTAATATGTTTTTTAATAAGGAACTAGAAAACTGGTTAGAAATCTTGAGGGCCTTGCCAGGTAGGAAAAACACAGCAGCGCTCAGGTGAGACCTGTGAGTTAGACACCATCTCCACCTGCTGGCAGCCGAGCTGAAGTCTATGTCCTGGTGTTTTGGGGCTGACAGCAGTAAGATATTGAACAGTTCCCTCAACCTCTTGTAGGTCTTTTTTTTGGATAGACTAGAAAGGTTTGCACATGTGTACTTCAGGATGTGTGGCTGCTAATGTTTTGGCTTGGTGAACTTCTTTAAGGAATGTTGTGACTTCAGCCAATGATGCGGATAAGCCGGCTTCATCTCTGCACGCCCCGCTGCTGGGGGTTGGGCAGCAGAAAGCCCCAATTCAGGCACCATGAGAGACAACACACTGAAAGGCAGCCACCGCGTGCTCCATGCTTTTCTGCATGCCGTAAGCACTTCTACCTAGATGGGGTCTACATTCAAACCAAGTTTAAGGGTTTTGAGGCTAAAGTGCTTTAAAAATAAAAATCTGTCACCATGGGAAAAAAAAATGTTTAAAAGCCCTGTTGTGAGCCTTGGAACTCTTTCTGGCAGGGCAGTTTGTGTATTTTCTTACCAAATGTGCTGAAACCCTATTTGGCTTATCTCCTTGTTTGGATAAATGTGTCTGGAGTTGGAGCTGCTTTACTGGCTGATGAATTATTTTTCTAAATGTTTGGCTGGGCTTGATGCAACATAGCCAGAAAGACATTCCTTGCATCAAATTTCTATTTCCCTCATTTGGTAAAGGACACTTTTCCTGTCGATCTTTGCCACAGAAAGCAATCTTTGTGTTCCTTTCCGTGTGTCAATAAATAATTCAAAAAGCTATAAGCTGGCTCTTTTGAAAATTAAACAATTCCCTTGACCTGTAAGCTGAAGAACCTGGGAGAGTGCTTTACACGCGATGATTTCTCAAGTCAAAGCCACTATTCTGCCTTACTGAAAAAGATTGCTGCAATAAAAGGGAAGCTTTTGATCTGTATTAAAACTCTAACAAGAGGCCAGGCGCGGTGGCTCACGCCTGTAATCCTAGCACTCTGGGAGGCCAAGGCGGGTGGATAGCTCAAGGTCAGGAGTTCGAAACCAGCCCGAGCAAGAGTGAGACCCCCCCCCCATCTCTACTAAAAATAGAAAGAAATTAATTGGCCAACTAAAATATATAGAAAAAGGTGGGCATGGTGGCACATGCCTGTAGTTCCAGCTACTCGAGAGGCTGGGGCAGTAGGATTGCTTGAGCCTAGGAGTTTGAGGTTGTTGTGAGCTAGGCTGATGCCGTGGCACTCTAGCCTGGGCAATAGAGTGAGACTCTGTTTCAAAAACAAAAAACAAACAAAACAAAAAACTCTAGGAGAGAAAATGAATAAGTAAGACAAAGTGCTTCCAGCACAAAGCTTTCCCACTGTGCCAAGTTCTACCTTCGCCTTATGATGATCTGACCACCTCTTGTCCTAACACCAGGAGGCTGCCTTTCGCCCTATAATGGACTACGGGACTGTGCTTCAAGGTGCAGTTCTGAAATGTTCTTCAGCTCTCAAAATACAGATTTACAGGAAATAATTCATGGCCCATGATTCAAGGCAACCTGATTTAAAACAGGCTTGATGCTATGAAACCTTGTTTACCCAACTTATACTTAACAAGAGAGCTGTTACTTTTCCAAAGTCTGTTTCTGAGCAGCCTCTAAGGAGAGGGTCAGGTTCTGGCAGAGCTTCAAATCTAGGGTTTCTGGTTAAGGACTATACTTCCAAGCTTCTGGCTAGTTTCTCTGATAAACCAAATACCTGATTTTCTAGGAAAACAGATCAGGTTTAAAGTTCCACTAACCTGAAGCATAGCAAAGGAAAACATTACTTTCTTCCAAAAATATTTCCGAATGGAATAATTTGTAAAAGTACAAATGTTTAGAGGATGGAAAGTTACACAAAACATCTTGAAAAACCTATCAATTAAACTACACTTGAGTTTATTGCTATTAACCCAGAAAACAGTTTATTAAGTGCTCAAATCTCCATCTCGATAACACAATGGAAAAAGACTTAAATCAATTATTCCGGTAACTAAGCAAAAACAACAATAAAAGCCCTAAAATGAAAAATAAAGCATGGTGGGAAGACTTGTAATCAGATAACTTATCTCTGCTCTGCTCTGATTTAACTTTATAATTCTATCTCCCAGGAGCTTTTTAATCTGATGTCGTACTTCAGAAAAATAATAGAAGCCAAAAGATTAGAGATACTTTATACCAAACATAACAATGACAGAAATGATTATCTAAATACCAATTCTGGAAAAT